TATATATTGCTGCTACACCTCCACCCCTACTCTGTCTGTCTTTTCTTAATTGTAAATGGAAACCTGGAATGTTTATATCAATGCTGTGTATACCATGGTGTAACCATGATTCTGTAAATAAATACAAATGACATCATATGATTCCAATTCAGCCTGGAGTATATCTTACTTATCTCTAAGACTCCGTACGTTTAAATCTATCATATTAAGATCAGTGTTTCGCAATGGTCCGGGATTTGGGTGAACATCACCACAGATCAAAAGAAGAAGAATGATAATCAGAGAAATGTGTTTGGTATAAAGACTTAATATCGAGAATTGATAACACTGTTTTCTCTAAATTTACAGGCAGATTTACTATGAATATGACAATCAAATGAGCCCACCACTTGTCTATATTGCATAATATCAATCATTTTCGAATATGGAAATACAAGTGTTATGTTGGATGGGTTCATACAAAGATATACAGTAACGAATTAAACTAAGCGTTGTGTATATAAAATACACGTATGACGTCAAGTTATTTGGCATTAGGAAAAAGTTGATACACATAATACAAAACATTTTAACTGCTGAAAACCAATGTAGTTCCTTGTGTTAAGAACGAAGTTATGACAATAGTTGTCAACGATATAATAAACTAAAAGAAAAAAATAAGGGTACCACAAAATGAAAGCTTCATCTGCAGTAAAAGAGGAAAAAAACACGGTGGACACTATGTCACTGACATAACTGAGACGCAGGCCAATCTGACCTACATAACGCACGTGCTGCAGCATCTATCACGTGGTGGCATGTTCTGGAGAGTGGAGGGCGAAGCATGATAGATGTTAAAAGGAAAATGTAAAGTTTCTTAATGGATTTTTTTAATATGGACATATTCCCGTTTCTTGATTATCTATGTCCATATTAAAAAAGCACAAGATGTAAGTGTATCCATGTTGGATCAACATAAAGTGTACTAATGTATACATTGAATACATGAACGTCGAATATCTTCATACACACCCATGTTGAATAAGCTCTGTATATGTCCAAACTGAATGAACAAAATGTGAATATGTCCATATGGAGTAACACAAAATATAAATATGTCCATGTTTGATGGACACAAAATGTAAATATGTCCATGTTTGTTAAACATAAGGTGTGCTTATGTTTATATTAAAGGTCACATGCAACCAAAAGATCAAACATAATTAAATCACAATTATCACTTATTCATGACATATAATATACATTGCTGATTATAAAAAAACATATAAACAAAATTATAAGCGTACAATCGCAAATCAAAAGTGCAATATTTTGTACTTGGGTTTACTTCCCTCGAAACGAAGCACCCGGGATACCGAACCCAGTCAGAGCGGGTGGTGTAACCCAGTGTAACGGCTGGTTCATTTGCCAATGCCCTCGAGGATCATTGTGTGTGTGTGTGTATATATATAGAGATGTTGTGTTTTGTAAATACATGCTAATTTTTTGTGTATAACATTTTGCAATCAACAGATATCCTAACTTATCGTACCTCACACATCCATGTCGCTTTCTGATGGCTGAGCGCTCTTCTATTATTTTCAATGTACCCCGCTTACAAGCGAGTAACATTTCAATGAACCCCCGCTGTCAATGGCAGCTCATTTGGTACTTCGTGGTAGTAATTGTTTTATCTCGAATAACATTGCATCACGTATGATGTACGGAAATTACCGATGTTTTGCGAATGCAAATTGATGGAAGGGAGATAACTCTAAATCTGTTGTTCTTGTGAGCAAAATCTAGCGATGGCTACAAAAAGATTTTCAAAGAATTCAAAATTAACATTAAGGTGTTCGGTAAGATAAATACGTTGTTCACTGGTCCCTCGGGGCCCATGGGTTGATGCACCCTCGATGTTTGTTTATGTTCCCTGAGCCCGAGACCAGTGAACAACTCATAATGTCATGTGTTTAAGTATCACACCTGCCTGTCTGTGTAATTACATAATGTGACAGAGACCGAACTCGGGCCATAAATCAATGCGTTTTGTTTATGGTGTATAGCCTGATAGGTGTTAAGTTCAAATTGCATGTGGTCAGTGATCGAAGTTGTGTATTGAATATTGTCATTAGCTGACAGGCAGGCAGACACATAGGTTTCCGCTTCACTGTTACTCTACCCAGCTCTGTGAACAACTGGTATAAATCAATGAAGGGTGTTTCTGACAAAATGTCCGGATATTGAATGTCCTTTTGATAATGGGGATGTTTGTTGCCAGTCTTCTTTAGTTATTTTAGACTCCCCTATTAAAAGAGATGACATAGTACATACGAGCTGAAACCTTTCAAATCTGCTGGTAAGGATAATGTCATTATGAGTATCAGTTTGTTGCAGATGTTATGAAAGCCCATTTTGAAGACATGTGAAAACGTCAATCACGTTTTTTCTAGAATGTCCTGATAACGATGCCATTAGAACTACATTACATACCAATATTTTCTCAGCTGAAGTCTCGATTCAAACAATTCTTTGCATGCTCGGTATTACATAACATATTTACATCCAAAAGTGTGTAAAATACATTATGGCAACACAGAGATTTGATGAACATTTGTATCTCATACAAGTTTCACTCCTATACAACTTTTTACATTTGTTGTGCCTTTGCCAACGACTAACAAGGTGTATTGTATCCATCATTCATGACAACAGCTATGTTGTATGCAATGGTATTAAGCAATAATGTTATTAAAAGAATTTAAAGGATGGTTATTTATTTTAATGTTCAAGGGGCGGTGGGGTTGCCTGGTGGTTAAATCGTTCGCTCGTCACGCCGAAGACCCGGGTTCGATTCGCCACATGGGTACAATGTGTGAAGCCCATTTCTGGTGTCCCCCGCCGTGATAATATTGCTGGAATATTGCTAAAAGCGGCGTAAAATGAAACTCAGTCAGTCAGTCAGTTCAAAATTCACACATTTGTCCTCTGTCTGTATACATGTCCATGAAAAGGCGTTTTAAGTTGGACAACATTAGCCCAATCCATTTGGAAAACAAAGCTGTCTTATACATCCTGAACTGATTTTTTAACTGAAGAGAATTTTGTTACTTTCGGGTCGCGTTCCACTGCTTTACAAAAACATAAGAACATGTACATTTACATTACAAATACAAAATGGGTTCCAGTGTTAGATAGTACCATTTAGATATGGACGTTAACCTTAGTAATGCCTCCTTCTTTGTCTGACTGTCAGGTCATCTGAAACATGGAAGGATACGCCTGCTAAAGTATGGTGTCATAGCAGTCTAAGGATTTCTACAAGACAATTTGGGCGCAATGTTTCTGAACGGTAAGCTGGGAAACATCCTCTTCATTGTGTAGCATTTGCACTATCTTTTGTCAAGTGATAGATCTATATTCATGAAGAATGTAGGCCTCCGGCCCATTTTCATACAAGTGGTCAGTCAGCATATAATGTAATAGACAATGTAGCCTTCATTACACACAGTGCACACCCTTTTATCTACAGGCATATTAACATATCTGCCTGTTTCTATTTTGAGTCCATGGGAACTGGAAGGAAACTACACCATGGGCACGCGAATTATGCAGTTGTTAATCCTTTGAGATATAATTCCGTTCCAAAGGTACCTTGAAAGAAAGTATGATTTCAAGTTTTAGAACTGCTGAAAAGAGTGCCAGTCCTGTTCAAACGAACATTTTAATCTTGCCATAAGTTCCGCGATAAAGGATTGTTTACTACTTACTGTTTGTGACTACCAGACATAGCCAAATCCAAGTCGAAACAATAAGTACTTCAATTTGGAAACCCAGTTATTCTTACCAGTATTAGCTGCTTGTTAAAACATGTTATAACACTTCTTTAGATACCTCACAGAAGGCATATATAATAATCTAATCCACAATTTTATGCAAAAATATACAAAGGGTATCTGCCACATTCACCCAATAATGTGTAAGTTGGTGTCCATGTCTTCACTCCAAGGAAGCGTTCACATGAAAACATATGAATGGTTTCTATATTTGTTACACTATCTAAACCCCAAACCCCAGATCCATACAGTAATATAGACATAATGTTAGTGTCACATATCCTGAAAAATAATTCAAACAGAATTGGGTTAAATCTATGTAATGTCCTTAATATGCCTAACAGGACCTTTCTAGCCTGAGGAGCTGCACTTGTGGTATGCTTATCCCACCATAATGTTTTAGTAAAAGTAATAACCAAATATTTATAGAATGGCACGCACTCGAGACATTTCTCTCCATAATACCATGTTTCCCTTCTCGAGAGAATACCCCCACTCTTGAAAACAACCACTATCTTTTGAGATGTGTGCATTGTGTAAATCTTGGTGATTATTACACGTCTGTTGAACTGCAGGGCAACTAAATATTGTCCTTGTGGAAAGAGTTATATGTCAACGGAGCCGTTCTTCTCTTTCCGAACGATTAATTCATATCCTAAGGACCGCACACAATTCCCTACCGCCCTACACAATGAACTGTTTGCTATTCATAGACAAGTGCACTGCTTCCTCATGATGCAACATCGACCATCAGTTTATCTCTTTAACTTCACCAATCTACTAGTTGTCAGGTCGTCAGGTAACATCGACACCTGACATTACGCGATTTACATGCTGTTTTATTTTTCTGTTAATGGTATATCTGACGTTCATAAACATTATTAGGAAAAGGGCAATTAGTGTAAATCAATATAGAGGCTATCAAGTCAATATTGACACATCACCTTCCCAGATGTGGTACTACACGGAAGTGGACGTTTACACAAGTAACAGCAAACCAATTACACGGGAATATCGTGAAAAATACCACACGTTTACCTAATGATATATGACATCAAACCAATCAAATTCTTCCGCTCTACTCAATGGTACATTGTATTACAAATACGTTGTCTCGGGTAGAGGCTAGCAGTAAAGATGCATGATACAAGGTGTGAAGACAGTGTCTTGTGATAATCTGGAAACATGTCTCCAGTCCATCTGATCTTCTTCTTCGTTGTTTCAACGAGACAGATGGCATTGTCTGCCACCATTGATGACTTATATCGTCTTCGTCATCACCTATTCGTCAACTACACCTCAGATGTAAGGCCGTTACTAAATCAGTCACAACTTCTACAAATGGATGTCAGTTTCCGATTCATGAGAATCCATCGCATTGACAACACACAAAAGGAGTTCTCCATCCGCGGACTACTGTCCCTTGCTTGGAAGGACGAGTTCCTGTCTTGGAAATCTGCTGAATTTGGAGGTCTGGGACACTATCACCCGAAGAAGGGGGAGATCTGGATTCCAAGCATTCTCAATGAAGACGGTGTTGGAAACCAAGAGGTTATGGAGACGATAACAAGGCGTGTGTTGTACAAAAACGGATCAGTTGTGGTTCATGTTCCTGGGTATTTCTCAACCTTCTGTTATTTTGACATGACGTATTTCCCGTTTGATAGTCAGAGTTGTGAAATCAAACTGAACTCCTTAGATTATTTTGCTGAAGAACTGGAATTCCGTCTTGTTTCTAAACAAGTGACAAAAATTGGGAAATATAACACAGATGCTGAATGGACTGTGGTCTGGGCTACTATGACAAGTAAACAAATAGCCATTCCTCCACAGAGCTATACCAGTGTTCGCATCTTGTTCCAGTTAAGCAGAAAGCCTTTGTTTGCCATCTTGAACATCGTCATCCCCATCGTCACCATCTCCGTCCTCAGCATGATGGTGTTCCTCGTCCCCGTGGAGTCTGGGGAGAAGTTGTCCTTCTCACTGTCAGCGTTGTTGTCACTGGCAGTCTTCATGAGCTTCATCAGTGAACAGATTCCTGCATCGTCGGAGAAACCGCCACTGCTGGTCATCTACCTGACGTCGATGGTTCTGCTGAATGCTATGTCAGTCGCCAGTACAGTTCTCGTCTTGCTATGCCATCACCGAGGAGCTTCTACCAAGGAGCCCAAAGAATGTAACAGTTCATCCAACCCGAATACCACTGGTAATGTGATGGAGAAACCTGGAATACTAAATTCGTTGATCGGCTGTGGGAAGAATAAGAAACATATGTCAGCCACCCGTGCCTTGAACAACACGCTGCTTCTGCTGTTTATGGGAGTTGTGATTGGAATTACTATTGGTGTCATGGCCCGAATGACGAATAACAACTGACATCATAGATAAATAGAGGTAAATAGAGAATACTACACGAGGCCTCATTACATACATATTATACGAAACGAGTGTCACGAGTTTCGTATAGTTCGTATGTAATAAGACTGAGTGTGGTATTTTATTTATTATCCACGTCTTACCTGCATAAAATTGACAAAATAGCGTATTTTTTTGTTTTCATGCTTTCAACCCGAAACTGGTTTCATAAAGAGGTTGCGGAAGAATTTTTTTGCATGACGTCACACTGTATTGACGTCACTACGCCATTCTCGTCTGCCCTCTCGTTATCAAAGGTACCCTTGGAACCGACGTCACGATGCATGTCAGTTGTCGTCGCCTCGTACTGCCTCTTACATTAGACTACTCCGTAGCACACCGTTTCTTAGTTTGCAGTTGCTTCACTCGGCTAACATCACTGGCGGAAACATTACGTTTATGGTTATCGACGGATAAAATGTCTCAGTTCGACTCACAATTTAACAGCGGCACGGTAACGTTCGCAATGTTTACATTCCCACAATGCATCCGTGGAATGTGGCGTGACTAGTCAGGTTCATCTGGATGTACTGATCTAAACTTACGTTGGTAGTAGAAATGCGACTTTCATATTGCCCCATTTGGTCAACGTTAACAGATATAATTGTAAAATAATTTAGAGAGGATATTTAACCCGAACATAAACCGTCATCAAACTGTTTTCCTGGTAACGTGCGTCTTAACGTAGGGAAGCAGACACGTCAATGGAACAGCACGTCAGTGAGCGAGGATTGTTAATTTAGATCACCGACACCGTCGTTTTTTTGTTTGTTTTCTGCCTCAGATTAATCGTAATTAACCTTAGAAAGTATTAAATTTGGCATCTTAGAACAGAAATACCGTTCGCTCTACCACCATGTATAGTGTAATAAAGTACACTTTTGCCCTGAACTATTATAATGTAAAGCGTGTGACGTAAAGGACGTAGTAAAAGTTGTAGAATGAATGAATTCACGTGCTTGTAATGAATGAGAAAGTAGTCCCGTCACACAGTGCCCTAACTGAGAGGTCATCGATTAACCTATCAAATCATTAGAATCTCAGGTGAAGTCGTTACGGCACAGATCAACGCGATACGACACCCGTGTGACGTACGAAATTAGTATGTACCTACCCATACGTTGACCACGTGAGTAATAATAACTATATACTTAATATATGGCAATGACTAAATAATTGTTTTGATCTGTGACATTAAAGTGAGTCATTGACAATGTGCAGTTATCTATGGTACCGAATATTTCCCTACCTTTGTTGATGATAGTTTGACACAGATTTCCAACGTGCTCTCTGTCAGGACTTTATATTTTGCTGACCCAGCAGTCAGCATGAACTTGGGTATATCTAGTCAAAAACGGAGTCTGGGTCACCAAAAAGAATGATTGGTATAATGAACATTTTCTCATGCTGTCGATGTCATGCAGTCATGCCGCACAATGTCCCGATTCATTGAGTCACATTTTATGACACGACTGTTTTACTGAGGACCTGTTTGACATGGAATCCACGCATAGTTTGCAATTGCTGATGTCATTGTTTTACTTTCTCTCTCGAGGTCTGTATGGTGTGTGTTTTTTCAAAATGTGTTATTGTACGCCAACTAGTGTTGTTTATAAATGTATCAGTCACTGTCTTTTGCTGACAAAATGTGATGTAATATACGTATCATGTCATAATATATGTGAAATAGTGCGTGCCTTTTAGATTAAACTTGGCCTTCAAAGAGGAAGCTTGTTAAATTGACAAGCGAAGATAAACTTCCCCAACAGACTGTTTTCCTTCGTCCTTCTTGTACGTGCTATAATCATGGAGGACAGCATCCATCTTTGAAATGATTTACATATTTTCCCAAAGAAAGGCTTTTAAAATCATATTTCCGATGTTTTGGGCACCATCCCTTCGTTCTGTCTTCAGGTTATTATTCTAATATAACATAGATTCTTTCCTTTTTGTTGCTTAATGGTCTACTTGAGGGTAACAAAGAACTAAGTAAACAACGATAAATAACGTACTACCTGTATGGATTGTATAACCACTGGTGATCTTACAAGCAGCAGCTGCGAGCACTATGTCTTTGTTGTCATGTTGCTAACCTTGTTGAATAAAGACTTGTTGCTGAAACTTATCGTTTATGTTCTTGTGCTCTTCTACGAAATGGACTATTGAAACCCTTTACATCATCGTAAAATATATGCATGCATTAAATAAGCACCATTGAATCCAAAGATTTTCATGTTTCCAGCTTGGGGTATAATTTTCATATTTGTAGCTTGTACACTTCAGTTTTAGGAACTGATATTGATATGGAAATGCAGAAAATACACGATGGCAAGTTATTGGCATGCATGACACTTGGTGCTAACTTATGCATTAACCACACGGTTATTAGTCGACTAGTTAAGAAGAACGTGTCCTCCCGCGAATGGTCGTCCAAGAGCTTGAAGAGCGAGGAAGACCAATCACCGAATCCTATTCGTCCAGCAAGTGCCGAATACCTTCTGCGTGTAGACTGTTCCTCGCTGTCTGGGCTGAAGTCTTAGCGATCCTGGCATTGCTGTAGCTGTAGAGGTGACCGCTGAGAGTTTATCAGGTAACTAACGAAACTGTATGAACCTCTCCTGCGCTGCTGCTGTTATGCATGGTGGACCGGACCAGGTCACGTGTTGACCCCCTCGTCTGGCAAGGGTTCTCCCATCGTCTTGTACTGGTGCTTGGGGATCCGTGGAAAAACCTGGCTACGGCCGACACCGTGACTGCAGATGGCAGATGCCGTTGTTTCGTTGAGTTTCTGTTAGTCGTGGCAGAAGTTCTACAACCTATTACCACTGCAAAGTAAGGTGTCACGTTTTGTCTTGAAATTTTAGTATTTAAATTTCTCTCTTTAATGTTGGCCTATAATCTGCTGCTTCTTGTTGATATGAACATCCGTAACCCTCTGGTGATGTCTTCAAATGTCATGGTTGTGTGGTTCATTTTCTGCTCCAGACCCAGTATGGAAAAGAAACTACTGACTTACAAATTTGAAGAATACCAGGAAAACGTTTTCTGAGGCAAAAACCGCGACCTTCTTTATTTGGGTCTTTCTTCTCGCATCTAGTTGACAGACTTAGATACAAATAAAATACTGTTCAAATGTGTTGTCCAAAAGATGTATTTATTCGTGACTGAGCATTTCAAAGAGACTGTTTAGCCATGTGTACTAGAAGGCAAAACGTGGTTATATATTGCTTGATAACATATCTGTTGAACTCCTGACTAACACTCACAAGAAATATGAAGTAAAGACAAAAAACATTAAGACTTTACCCTATCATTCATGATTGTGGTCTTGACTAATTACAGAAGTAACAAAATATCACAAAATGTTTACCGAGAATCAGTGGCTAACTATGGAGGAAGCATTGAAAGGTTTGGAGAAATTATGAAGATGTGCGAACAGGAATGAAATAAAGGAGGGAGGAAAGCAGAATAACATAACATAAAAACAAAGTAAAATATGTGGAAAAAGAACTTTGAAAAGATGAGTCAATGCGGTACAAAGAGGAATGAAATCCGAACAAATATTTGGGGCTGATTAAACGCAGAAAACCCTAGGAAAAAGCGACAATTCACGGAAAGAGCAGAGATAAACTACTGTCAATGAGGTCACTGTTAATACTCATGGTAATAAGCAGTTCCCTTGATCACCAGTAAGGTGGTCAAACTTTTGTTGTTAGTGGTTTATAGCCTGGTTTTAATTTGTAAGAATGAATTATTGAATCTATTGTCTTCTTATTTTAATTATGGTCAGGTTGGTTTTATTTTACAATTGTGATATACCCAGTTATTTACTGTCCTTTGTCGACAGATATTTTAAAATGCTTACCTTGTTTTCATCGCTATATGGCTGTAATATTGCCGACGCGATGTAAAATTTTAACTCACTCACTCATGGTAATAAGCTGTAAAATCAAAGAAGAGACAAAACGCTGAGGAATCACATATGAGTCACAGAATGTGATGGCAAACATTCAGATTCAGTGGACAGTAGGAAGAAAGACTGGTGGCACGCAAACAATCACAAAGGAATTTCCAGGAAAGTACAAAGCAAATCAGCTACAAATCGACATCACAGCCACGACACATAGAATACACTGCAGAATGTGATGCTTCATAAATCGATCGTCTTGCAAATGTAAAAGGATTTAAAGGGGGTGGACAAACACAAACTATAATCAAAGCAAACACATACAATAAGAAAAAATGGAGAGGGAAAACCAATCGATTGGAGGAAAAGAGAACAGAGAAATTGGAAGTATAGATAACAAAGTGACATACTGAGAGCACAACGTCCATATGTGGAGGAGGCCATCAGGAAACATTGACAAGAATAAATATATAACGTCTTTATATCTAACTTCACTTCCAATACAAAACCACTCTGCGTCAGTAGTTGACTGTCATAGGTATATTCTTTAAGTTGAGCCAGACACATTCAAAATGTTCGAGTCGATGGATCTATTTGCACATGAGACCCTGAAATATCAGAGTTTTTTATCTGTATAAATGGCAATTTTCATAACATGCAAAACTGTGGTGCCTTGGGGTTGAAAGGGTTTTGATTCCCAGACTTCACGCACGAAAGGATTTTGCCTCTGTGCTTTGGAAGAATCTAATCATTGTTTAGCATTTTCACACTCATCCTGTACGTATTGTATCACCTGGTAACTGAGCATTGTTTGCATGCACGGTTCCCGCTCAGTTGGATCAATAGACATTGACATAGTGGACGGTGCATCATCGTCAACAAAGTCAACACATGTCATTCTGAAACGATTTATTGATATCCTGAAACATTAAGAGTACCAAATATCCCGTTGACATTTATTAGAAATTAAACATTAAGCCGTACACCATTCCCCGTCTCTTAGGACAGTGTACTGTTTGGGCAGCTTTATAATAGGAAGTGTTGTGTTTTCCAC